TTAAGGTCCCTCCCAACCCCACGATTTTGCGGCAGGAGTTATGCACCAAAGGCAGCTGCTGCTGACATCAGTGGAGATTTGCATTGGCTGCAACGCTTCCAGGACTTCAGCTTCAGAGTAGCAATTACTGCCTTGCACGTGTGCGCTTATGGGAGGAAGTTGCCAAACCCCAGACAATGTAAATTGGTGTTGATAAATATAATGCAATTGGGAGGCCTGCTTCAGAGCACCATTTCCCTTCAACCACAGCACATACATTTCCAGGGCAGCTATTGGACCACGTTCTCAACTGGCACAAACCAGTGTAGCTTCACTGGGAGCCAAATCCATTTATACCCTGCAGAGGACCTGGGCTATTGCAAAGAGTGAAAACGTAACTAGGAGCTGTCTGCACGAAGCATTAGGAAGTCTGTGACAATATTATGTGATAATATATTCAGGAAGGAGAACAAGTCAAATGGCTCACACCTTGATTACAGAGTATACACAATTATCTGCATCTCAGGAACCGTTCCAGCCAACGTATCAGTGGCCAAAACACCTCTTCCTGACATCCATGCACCCCCCTCGCCAAATGAGCATAAAGGTCCCTGGAACACACAAAGTCATTTAACACTCGACAAACTGCCAATGAACAAAAATCCACACCATTATTTTTTTGGTTCAAGCCTGGTCAGAGTGTGGTTTCCTTCATAGGAGGCCAAGAAAACGTAATCATTTTTTCCTGCCACCAAATCCAAATATTTTACAAATGAAAAAATCCTTGGACCCAAATCCATGCCAGTAAATCATACAAAAAGGAGAAGGAAAAGCCGCAGGGTTTTATAACTACCTCCTGCACCGTCTAGGTTAGCCCATAGATTAGAGCAGTGGCAATGATAATGAAGCTCTAGGGATGGAAGGGAGCTGACTTATTTGTACAGAGCTAATCCTCCCGGTTCCCCACATTCAAAAGCTGTAAGGCCAGCAGCCAAATTAATGTCCCTTTTATTTCCTCTGCTGTGTGGAAATATCCCCTCCAAATCTTGAGGCCGAAGATTGATCACAGAGGGCTGAAAGTTTCCTGTCAGGGATCAAAAGAGGAGAAAAGGAGAGTTTATCTCCCAGCAAGATGCAGGAGGTCACTGAAAAGGACCAAGATACCATGCCTAAAAGATGCACCTTCAAATGCAACGGTGGTACAGAAAAGCCTCAGCCTCATTGCAAGTCAATAGGACTTTTGCTCCCAAGTCATGAAGGCTCTTTTGAAAATTTGACTGTGCGCGTAAAGAAAAAAAAAAATGATTTAGGAGAACGTTTGAAAGTTTAGGTTTGGAAGGATCCCTCTCTCTCCCCCACACACATGCTCCAGCCTGCACGCTTGTACCCCTACAGCTAAGAGATTCTGGTTTTAAAAGCTGGAGGGGGAAATATATATATATATATATATATATATATATCCCAATAAAATATTTAAGAACTCACTAAAACTTTTATGAGACAGCATAGACTGTAACACATTTGTAGAAGACCCCTACTGCACTTGGTATGTGATACCCAAGGCATCCAAGGCTTTCCTAAAAACCCTGTATTCTCCATACTGCTCACAATATGCACATTTATATATATCAAAACCAGAAAGCTAAGTCATCCCCACCCTTGGGTTTCCCAATGCATCCTGCTTCCTCCTCTTCACACCCCAGGTCTGTAAAGGAGCAGATAGGCTGAGTCCCAGTGAAATCGTGGGGATCTCTGAGAACGTGGCCATCCACCTTCATGCAAGCAAGTGTGGGATCAGCAATGTATGGGGCCCGGCTGCTTTTATTTTTGTGCCTTGATGCAAATGCATGTTCAAATAATGTTATATATAGCAGCTAAATGTACATAAAAATACCTGGCAACATGGTGCAGTGCAAGGGTGTCTTTGACACTTATTTGGCTTGATCTGTGCAGGCTTCCTGAGGTTTCACATGAGAGCGCTCTGCCAATAAAACCTTTACAGCATCCCAGAGCCTCCTGAGCCCCCTCAAACATCCCATACCCTCCTCTTCTGCAGCGTCAGGGACATTAACACTCCCACACACCTCCTGTCTGTCCAGTTGCCAAAATTCACTAGCTGACCTGACTATGACCCATTCTTTTCCCTTCAAACACTACATCGAGCCTGTTGCACCCCTGAAAGAGGACCACCCTGATGGGGCGATCTTCTGGGACTTCTGGGGCATGGCTGCTTGCAATGGCAAGGGGCTGGGCTCACTGACTTGGCAGGTCCCGTCCAGTCCTACGGGCTAATGTTCTCCATCACACCACACCTCCCAACCTCTCTGCTCCGAAAATCTTATCTGTGTGGAGAGTCCTCCCTCCCCACATCTACCAAACCCCTTTTCCAGTCAAGCCCCTCTTTGTACCTGAGGCCAAAAGAAGCAAGTTCATAAGTCATTAAAAGGAAGACCTCACCCTCCCACCCCGACGATACCGTGTGCAGCGAGGTGGTCTACCTGAGGGCCTGGTCCTGCAATCAGATGCCTGCAGCCAGAGACTCAATGATTTCAATGGGACTCTCACAGGCGCAGTGCTCTGCCATTGGGAAGAGCTGGTGCATTCCTGTTGGGCCTGATGGAAGGACCAGGGCCTTGACCTGAAAGCTCTCCAAGCCAGGGGTTTACTTCATTTTCCCGTGTGTATGTCAGGCTGTTATGGGCAGACTTTCAACATCAAGACAACGGAGTGGAGCAGGTCTCACATTAGGATTGGACAATTATTTTGGCTGAAGGGACATTCGGTGAGCTGTTGTGGGCGGAGGAGGTGCTGTGCTAACCTGGCCAGGTGTGGCAGGGGGTGCAATTGGTCCAATCTGGCCGGGCCCATCTACCCCACACCCATTCCTGGGGGTGCCAGACAGAAAGGATGGGTTGGATCTCCATGGATCTGGGACCCTCGTGGGCAGGGCACGCTTGGCCAGGCAGATGTGATGGAGCCATGGGCAGGTGTGGAATGACTGCATAGGGCCGGGGCCCGGGGCACAGCTGCAATCTGCTCCCTGCATGTCCCTGAGATGGGCACTTGTTCCAGGGGTAGGGGTAGAGGTGTGCAGGGAGTGGATCACACTCTGTAGGGTGATCATAGCCCCATGCTATGATCACCCTACAATCCTGGACCTGGGCCAGGACTCGCGGACACCACTTTCTGCCTACCCATGGCTCCATCCATCCGCCCATCCAAGTGCGCCCTGCCTGCGGGAGTCGTTGGCCAGTCTCCATGGAGGCTTTGCTTACCCAGCTGCCTGCTCTGTCTGGCACCCCGGGTGGTGGGTGCAGGGCAGACGGGCGAGGATGCCTGGGTGCCAGGTCAGCTGCAGCAGAGACACTCGCAGCGGCAGCCAGAAGGAGCTACCACTGCAAGGACTGCCAGAAAGTGGAGTGGGCTGCCTCCTGCACCAGGGCTGGGTCAAGGGACCTGACATCGGCTGGATAGTATCCCTTGAATCCAGCCCACGGGCCATATTTTACCCACTCCTATCTAAGATCTATATGGTACTCGCCCACACCTGCCTTGAAGAAGATGGAGGGAACTACCCTCTTGTGCCATTTCACCAACCTACAGAAAATACAGTGTTTGCGTGATTCTCAACCAGGCTCTCATGGCACCCTGGAGCATCCTGACATCCTTCAGGGGTGTTGGGGGGTGTCACACAACGTTAGCACTGTTAAGTGAGCAAACACAAATCAAATGATGATCCCAGAGATTTCACATAGAAATCCATAGCAGTAAAACTGTTCCTGCCCTGCTGTGGTCCTTCTGAGCTCTTTGCGACAGAAGATTTGCTCTTGTATTTTTCTGAAGTCAAAGATCACCTGAAATCAAGGAGCTAGCATTTTCTAAGGGATGTCTCATGTATAGCAAGGGGGCCCTTGAGCCTAAAGCGGTGAGACCCTCTGCAGTAGTTACTTGCTTTAGAGGATCTGGGAAGTGAATGTCTGCTTCAAATGGACACTGCATCCATCTATCTGTCCTTTGTATCTGGCTGCTGAACTTAGCGCCTGGTTTCCCGCAGCAAGTCTAAGACACTGGACCACCAGCACTTGTGCAGGACAGCTCCATGAGCACGGACCCCGCACCCCAGCACTTCCTTCCTTGTCCCCCTGAGCCATCCTCCTCTCCACATCCTGCGAGCTCCGCACAGACCCTGCTCCACATTTTCCCCTTCCCGAGTGGCAGCTCCCCTCATGGGCAAGAGGCAGGGGGTTGGTGGTGGCACTTACCCGCCTGAGCATTGCTCTGCCCTCTAGCCCCAGAAGCAGGCACCACCCAGCCAGCAAGAGCTGCCTCCAGCCCCCCCATGCCCCAGCAGCCTGCCTGCACTCATTGCTACAGAGCCAGCATCAGCCCCTCTGCCGTATGCCCACCTGGAGGGGCAGGGTGCTGCCCAGGGAGCCAGCCACCCCCTGGCACTGCCAGGGGATGCACAGGCAGGCTGCTGTGCCTTTAAAGCTTCCTTCCCTTGCCATCCCTGCCTGCAGCACCCATGTCCTCCAGCCCAGCCACTGCCTCCCCCTCCACCCAGATCTCTCCTGCTGCCACGTGTGGTCTCTGCAGATGCCCTGCTCCCTGCCCCCTGCCAGCAGATGCTGCTGCTCCTGTCCCGCAGACACTTGCCTGTCGCCCTCCACTCCCCTCTTCCAGATCCTTTTATTCCCCCCTGCTCTGCTCCCTTTCTCCTCAGCTGGCTTCCAAGGGATCCAGTGAAGTTACACAGGCAGATTTCAACTGGACACTTGCATCTGGTACTGCTTTTCTGGGCTTAAAAAAATGGGTCTCAGCTTTGCAGCAAAAAAGAGAAGAAAGGTGAGGGGTGAACATCTTCCCCGCTCCTACCTCACCTCTCCTGCCCTTAGATTAGGGGCTGTCCCCAGCTGGTTTCCTGGCCACCCCCCGCCCCCCCTTACTTTCTTTGGAAAGAATAAAGCTAAAATCCTCATCAGCTGCACAAGCCAAGTCTTGCCTGCAGCTCCCAGACTCACCTGCACAATGCTGCTTGCTGCTAGAATCCAAGGCAGAAGCCACCTCATCACTGGAAGCCAGGATTAAATGCATTGATTGAACCCAGATTTGAAGCCGCTGTGCACAAAAACCCCCCACTTTGGGAAGGCAGAGCAGTCCTGAGCTGGCAGCCTCGCTCAGGCAGATCTGCCTTTTTCTCTTGGCTCTTTGGGGATTTTATTAAAGACAGATCTGACGTCAGGGTGAAGGACAAGCCCTGCATTTTTCCTCTGGAGAAACTTTTCCTGCCTTTACTTCTTCATTTTTTTTTTGTTGTTGTCCCCACCTCCTGCATTTCTCTGTATTGCCTTTAGCCAAAAGAGTCTTAAAGGGAACGTTACAATGCAGCAGGGCACCAGGCTGTAATTTGAACACTGTTTAAATGCTCAGAGTTTCCCCAGAATTACAGCGAAGGGTTTTTGCAGCCTCTCAGATTAGGGAGCATAGGCATAAGCCTCTGCACTATAGTGTCTTTCCTACCAGTAAGCGAAACAATTTTTAACACAAACCTCAAAAGCGCCTTTAAAAAAAATCTGATGGGTTTTATGAGACAGAAAAATTCTGGTCCTTCAGCCTTGCAAACACAACTTCACAAGAATTAAGCCAAGTTTGATGGGATTTGCCCAGATAAAGTTATCCCACATAGGAAAGCCCTGGAAGAGATCATTCTGCTAAGCCAACTGCATGCTGTTGCTGCTGCCGCCTTGGTTTCCAGGTGCGGGACAGGTCTAGCAGCACAGAGCGGGCCTTATGCAGTGTGTTACACGTGTTGTTTTGCTGTACCTTAGGGCAATCAGAGTTTATTGGCATGGTAAGCTTGCATAGGCAAAAAGAAGCTGACCTTGGGGTTTACTACGTGGTGCAAGCCTGCTTATTCAGTGAGCAGTATCCTACTCCACAGTCAGCCAGCCCCACTCTCCAAGGGGGCTGCAAAAGGCAGGTGTTAAGGCAGGTGCAGGGGCAAAGACTGTGCCAGAGAAGGGACCATTGGCTTGTGTGACCCTGACATAAGTGAGACGTGAATGAGGCTACAAGAGACAGATTTGGATCAGAGCTCGGGAGAAGCTTCCTAACTGGAAGACCAGCAGGACAATACAGTAGTTGCAGACTCTTCCTCCCTGGAGGTCTGCAGGAAGAGGTTGGATAGTCACTGTCTGGAATGGTTTAACCAGCTCTAACTCTTCCCCCGTCCTGAAATGGGGAAGCCAAGGCACATCACTGATGGGCTGGGTAGAAAAAGCCTTTTGTCAGTGATACAGGCAGACATGGTTCCTCAGGTAAATCCGATATCTTTTATTAAACCACCTCAAATAGTTGGAAAAATTCTTCTTAGCAAGTGAGAAATTCTTCTTAGCAATCTCATCGGTGATTTTTCTCTAGCCTATTTCCACAGACCTGCTTCTAACATACTGTCAACCCTTCTCTCCGTGCTCAGCTACAGACAATTATCCTCCTCCTGGTTTCTTTTTCTGTTCTCGGTGGTCTTCTCCTTCCTTTCCTCACTTCTTCCTCAACTCCTTCATCCTGCCCTTCTCCCTCTTTCTGTTGGTTTACCTTTCTGTTGCCAGCTCTCACCTCTGCCTTTCTCCCCTTCTGCTCGCCTTTCTCTTCAGCCACATGCTTCCCACCCCCTTTTCGCATTTTCCTAACTGCATCTTTCACTCCCACTTGCCTGACTGACTCAAGGCAGTCTCATGCCTGATGCCGTGAGAAACAGTCGAGAGGAGTCCAGTATTCAAGCACTGAGGGTGGAGGGGGCATCGTCATCTAGCTTTGCCTCCTAACAGCAGTACCTCTCTTTGGTTCCCAATGGGATCAGGACAGAGACAGTGTCACTAGGGGATGGCTGAGTAGATGCAGCAGCACTGAAGACCCGACTGCTGTTTTGGATTTCAAAACTGGCAACGCCAGGGAAGAACTGCTCCAGAAAGCCAGGGCAAATGCAAGAAATCGGATCAGGCTTTTCTGAGGCGTTTGCTCCATCTGCTCATTTCAGGCCATTCATCCTAAGTATTTCATTCTCCTGGGCCATTTCTTAATTTGTATCGTTGATGAGGCTGCCAGGGAATGTATGCACAGAGACTGTGGATTTTGCCGCGTGGGCACCAGTCACAGGGAACTCAACAACTCCGCACATACAGGCCAAGGGATTGCGTCATGTGCTTTCCCCTTTTCAATAATAGCTTTGAGTGGCTATCAATTTGAAGAGGATTAGACCTAGAGACTGCCTTCATAATCCTGTTCTGAACTCCCTGGGACGTCCACCCCACCAGCATTCCTAAGTGCCAGTAGATGTGCACCCATGTGTTTGCATGTGCGTGTGTGCACGGCTATTTTAGTCAACATAAGCAGTTAACTGGCACTGTTTATACACTAAAACTTAGAGGATGATGGAGAAATTGAAGTTCTCATTTAGCAGTTCAGAGTATAACAGGAGGTGCGAGATAGTTTTCACATATCTCGGGGCCTTTTAGTTTGGCCTGGTGATGAAGCTGTACCTGGTGACTCTTTGAGTCTATTGACTAGTGGCCATGCCTTTAGCAAGATATTCAATCTTCGTTTAAAGGCTTCAACAGATGGAGAATTGACCCCACTCTATGTAGTTGCTTCATCAGTTTATGATGGACTTCCAGTCGGTTTGACTAGCTTCAACTTCCAGTTCGTAGACCCTGGGATATCAGTGCCTGCTAGTCTACAGAACATCAGATATCTTCATTGAGCGTGTGTACGGCAAAACTTGACCAACCCATATGTCTACCTCTGATAACATGAGTACACTAAGCTCCATTTGCCACACTGTTAGGCAAGTTTTCCAGACCTTGAATCTGTCAGGTAAAGCCTCTTGCTCCTCACCTCCCACCTCATTTAAGGATTACAACTTTGAACTCAGTTATCCATCATTCTGGATGTCTTATTCACAGTGAAATGGAAACAGGTAGCTAGTGGGTAGCAAATTTCACAATATCTCAGACCCCATTTAAAGTCCACAGGTGTATTTATACCATTTCCCCAGCAGGAACACTCCTAAGTGCATGCCACCCGCAGACAGGCTGCCAAGGGGTATGTGAGTAGGGCCACTGGGTTTTGTATGTGTGAGAAGGAGCAGGTAGGTGGGACATAGCGAGAAACAACCTTCCCAGGACATGCTGGGGGCATGGTATAGATGCATCATATAGCATTAACCACCCACTCCTCCTTAAATATGTTCCTGAGCCATACTAGACATTTAATGATTCAATTATTTCTTGATTTTTGCTATGTTTTACAAGGTTCCCTATTCTAAGGGGGGATCTACTAGATTATATAAACAGGGAGGAAGTGAGGTGTATCAATACGGACTGATCATTCAAGTGTTTCTGAACATGGCCCGGAGTTGACAAAAGGAAAACGGGGCCCACTGCCAAAAGAGATGACTCTCAGGGGGGAGAGATCATGGCTTGCTATATATGTGTAAGTCGGTTTGCTTGCCTAGCACGGAAATCATCGTGGTGCTTGTGGCCAAGTGTCAGCCGGGGTGTTCTGCCTCTTGGATCCGTTCCAAAGAGCACACAGTGGAATAGAAAGGAAAGATGTTAAGCCATGAATAAAAAAATCTCAGGTAATGGGAAATGGAAGAGCATGAGTTTTGGTGCTCAGGGATATTCATGGGGGCTAAGAGACAAGAGTGTGAAAAAGCCACCACTGATAACCTCATGCATCAGACTCTCAGCTAGCACCACTCCAGCACATGTAAAGGTTTAATTTCAGCTCCTCTGTGATCCTAACTATCTTCGCACATAAGACCACGTCCCAAGAAAGGCAAGGAGCTGCAATATAGCTGGAGGGCCTCTAAAACAGCCTCGTGTGAAGGACAAATACAGGGCCGAGAAGGCAACAAACTCCTCTTTCCCAGTCCAGACTCCCTTAGTGACATGGGCTCCCTCAGTGGCCTGGCTCAAGTCGCTTAAAAGGTGATGTTTAAAGTGGTGTATGTTGAACTCCTCATCCTACCACAGTCAATGAGGGTTTTTCCAATTACTTTTGTGGAATCAGCATTTTACTCCTTGGGCACGTCTACATGAGACACTATGTGGCCATAGCAATGAGCTATGGTCACCATAGCTCAGTGCTACAGCGACGTAGTGTCAATGGGCACAAACCATGATGCGGATGCTACTGCACAGTAGCGTGGGAAAAAAAACCCATGCAGGTTCAGGCCTGCGCAGTAACACCAGCTCCTGCAGAGGCATTTAGTACTTGCTAACAACTGCGCAGTCCGGCGCACGTGTAGATGCGTCCCTTATCCGTTAGACATAATAAAGCATGTTTTGTTTCCCAAAAACACCTTGTTTGCTTGTTTGTAACTACACCAGATTCTCACGACCTTCCTTCTTCTGGAAGATTGTGGAAATTAGGTCAAATTACTACGCTGAGCATGAACACATAGAGACAAAATCAGGAAGGCATGGGAAAAGGAGCTAAACCTAGCAAGGAATGTCAAGGGTAACAAGAAAACAACCCTTCCATGAGTACTACTAGGAGCACTACCAAGAGGAAGGGCAAGGCCTACTCGGGGCAGGCCTCCGTCACCACAACTGCAGGAAAAATGATGCTAAGTCTTAAGACAGCAGTCAGAGGGGAGCTTGCAACACATTTTTGAGCCTGCTTTAGCTTAGCTAGTCTGGGTCCCAAAAGCCATGAAACCACTGCAGCATGGATTCAGGCACTGAGTAATCAACCAAAAATCAGGGAGGGCTTTTATAGCCTGTCCTGAAGCTCACTGCTCCCCGTACTGGCTTGAGTAAAGCTAGCTCCGGTCAATCATGCTTCCTGATTACAGTGTTACTACGTCCCTCTCCCCATCAAGACCCAATTCTTTTCACATATAACAGCTGTTAGATCAGGAGTGACTCCAATGAAGTCAACAGAGTTGCAGCTGGGCCGTTCTAGAAAGCAGGGCCCTCGGTACTGAGTCGATTCCTGTAGGCAAAACTTCATGCCTCTTGCTGTTATTTCCTAGACGAAACCCATTTGTCTCTTTTGACACCCTTTAAACAGATTCAGTCTGTAAACTAGATTTTCAGCTGCTATAAAATCAGTTTAACTCCACTGACCTCTCTGGCATTTGCAGCAGCTGAGATCTAGTCCCTTATAACTGGAAACAGCCAGCGTCTTGCTCAGCACTG